CAGAAGTTTTTCCTGTCTATTTTTATCTAATTTCTTGAGCATATCTGCTTTGGATGTGAAATGGTACAATGTCACCATATGACACTATTGCTGTTGCGATTTGAGCCTGTCCTCTAAGAGTCTCTTATCCATGTGAGTTGATACACTTCTGTCGACGTAATTTAGATTTTATACACATATTAACGCTATGTGGTCTCTTTTCCCCATTTTCTCTTTATATGTCTATATATCATTTAAGTTTCAAATGCATTTGGAACAAGTGTATACCCTTTATTTTACACTATTGTATAGACTCCACTCATATAGTTGGTATAGGTTTGAATTTCTATCTCATACCTTACTAATTGGGTCTCTTGTAAATTTAACAAAGTTGCTTGTCAAGTGTATAGAATTTACTGTTCATAAACATCACTTAGAAACAAACATACATTTAGCAAATCAAGACAATTCCCAGTTTGGGCTTAAACATCCATATTGTTAGTATGTTCTGTAAAGTATGATCATAAATCTGTTCAGAAGAAAAAATAATGACACTGTTAAACAAAGCAATATATTACAAGAGCTCTCTTACAAGAGCTTACTCTGGGGAGTATAGTGATTATAGCAATCCCAAGAGTGTAGGTAGTTCTCCAATCCCCCAAACATGAGCCGAAACTTCATGAAGGGTAGAACAAGTCTGTTTAATGAGCACAAAGGCATTTCTTTTATTCACATTTTCCTCACACGGTTACCAACCCTGTGGACCTTGTGCAGCACAGGACACAAAGGACACAAACCAATCAACAAAGCATTGTACAGTTAGACACTCCCAGCTAATGTACACAAACCCTCTCCTCTGCCTGTGATACAATTACCAAACACAATGGACTAACTGAATTACCACTGGCAGAAAATATAAATTTTTACCCAAAGTCCAGAAACATCCCATAACATAAACATATCCCCATAAATCCTACATCCCTGTATAGCCCTGAATGGGTGAACAACATATCAAAAAAATCACCCAGATCAGAGCAGAGGTTCAAAAATGTTATGGAAGTCACATTTGACCGACCGCAAGCATGGCTTTCATGCCCAAAATAGTTCCCCAGATTTGGGCTGTGCAGCCGGTCTATCTTCTCCTCTATCCTGGAGATAATTGGCTTAAAGGACCACTATAGTGCCAGGAAAACATACTCGTTTTCCTGGCAAGATATTGCCCTGAGGGTGCCCCCACCCTCAGGGTCCCCCTGCCGCCCGGCTCTGGAAAGGGGAAAGGGGTTTAAACTTACCTTTTTCCAGCGCTGGGCGGAGAGCTCTCCTCCCTCTCTCCTCCATTCCGCCCCGTCGGCTGAATGCGCACGCGCGGCAAGAGCTGCGCGCGCATTCAGCCGGTCGCTGGCCTCTCACTGTGTGAGAAGCATGCAAGCGCTCTAGTGGCTGTCAATGAGACAGCCACTAGAGGATTAGGGGGAAGGCTTAACCCATTAATAAACATAGCAGTTTCTCTGAAACTGCTATGTTTATTAAAAAATGGGTTAACCCTAGAAGGACCTGGCACCCAGACCACTTCATTAAGCTGAAGTGGTCTGGGTGCCTAGAGTGGTCCTTTAAGTGGCTGTGGTAAGTCAATTATCTCCAGGTACAGGAAATATCTCTAAGTCCAAAAACTGTTACAAAAACCACATAAAAATACATAACTCTTATAATACAATGTTTAACCTATATGTCCAACATATCCCCAGATAGCTTGGATCTCAGCGCTCAATATGTCCAAAAAGCGCTCAGATCTCACAAATACAGTTGGATCGCCATGGGGTTAAACAATAGCAAGGGTTGATGAGAGATTGAGGAGGGACAAAGCAGCCAGTTTAAACTGGTCTGGCAGTGTCCTTGGGACAACGCCCTGCTGGAGAATAATAGGACAGGAAAAAGGGGGAGGGGAAGAGGCACATTTTCCCATGGATTTAAAGGGGCAGAAAAGGTGTTTTTAAATCCAATATGCCCAAATAAAGCTTTTAAAGGGCAATAAATCCCAGGGGCCATAGTCACAGGGCAAGAAGCTGGCAAGCAAACCTCTCCAAATCCCAGTGATGAAGGTGCTTTCGTAGCTTCATAGAGGCATGTTTTACTGCTGCATTTTATAGGACATTGCATGAGAACTGTCATTAGGATCTCTTTCTAAATACCCATTTAGGAGATTTTTCACTATTATTGCAATTTTATATATTACTTCTAAGTACCATTATGTATTGCTTGGTGATAATGCAAGTTGATTTTAACCGCCTTTGACTCAGTTTTCACTGGGAAGCGCTTCTAGTGACTGTCTGAAGACAGTATCTAGAGGTGTATTTAACATGGCAATGTTTAAAATTACAGGGTTAAAACTAAAGGCCCACTGAACCCAGACCAGTTCATTGAGATTAAGTGATCTGGGTGCCTTTACTGGTCCTTTAAAAACATAGTTGTAGTTTTCTTTTTGCAGTATAAATTCTGAACACTAGGTGGTAGTATGCCCTTGTTAGAATAATGAGCACACATGGTATCTGCTTTTAAACTTTCCCAGTTATTCACTGAACAAGGCATTGCTGTGAATAGACCTGAAAATTTAGATTTTTATCAAAATAGCTGGATTTCAAAACTTTACAACACAACCGTGTTTTCTGCTCAGGTAAGTTTTTCGATATGTAACTAGTAAATGTTTCTATATTTTTGTAGTACTTTGCCATACTTCCTTGTGCAATGAATACTTCCTTGGATTATATCCAGAAATGACCCCCACCCACCTCTTTGTGTTCTTTAACTGTCTACCTCCTCTTTTAGATCACTGGCAAAAGACAGACAAGAGACTGGAATCTAAAGGTCCAAGGGTTAACATTGCTATTATTGGCTCAGAAAGTGTTTATTGAAATTTTGACTCTTAGTACGTTATATTGCATGACCGTTATAATTCAGATCCAATTAAATTAAGCATTGAACTTCTAAAATGTAAATCAGTTGTTTTCTACAGAGGAAAATCTGATTTTTTTTCCCCAAGATATTTGTGAATATATAGAAATGGAAAATATATTTTTACACGTTAATACAACTGTAAAAAGGTGGGGGGTTTTCTTCACAACACGACATGAAACATAAGGTTCTAGATGACATGTTTAATCTGTAGTGAAGAATCTATTCATTTACAGAGGAATTAAATGGCTTTGTACAGTCCAGATATTTCATCATCACATCTAGTGGTTCATTCTATTGACTGCCAAGGAAAAGTGAAAATTGGGGTGTTATGCTAATGTTCTCCAAATGTGGATGGACTACAACTACCACTGCACCATATTAATCTAAGCACTTTTTTTATTATTTAATCTACTTCTGCAAAAGTATCACTAAAATGTGGTAAGCAAAATCACAAGAATAAGCCTGCAAAATGCATTGTCACACAAATATTGTCTCAGTTACTTATTTTCTACCCTGTTTTACAATTGAACTTGAATTAAATGGGTTCTAACAGTTCAGGAATTATTTTTCTTTTGTCAAAAATAGTGAATAGAGATTTTTCAACTTATCATAAAACAATAACGTTTTGTTTATTTTTATTATTATTTTAGAGTGTCACTATATTCCACTACATTGTGCAACGGGTGTAATTCTGTGACAAAATTCCCATCATAAATAAATCCCTTGCAGAATTGTGTCCTCTAGACAATTAATCAAAGATCTCCCATGGTTTAATATAGCAATGACAATGCCCAGTTTCAGTTTGATCTGTTACCAGTGTCTTTTTACATTTATTTTTACTTAATAGTTTTTGCAATAACATCAAAAAAGTGACTAAAAAACATTCATCTCTAAAGCCTAAAATATGAAAAGCAATACGGTTAACACTTTATAGTGGAACCTACACTTACAGAAAAGTGGAAGTTCCTCCATCCCTCGCCCAAGAAAATGCTATTGTAGCATTTATTGGGGTGAATAACACTGCAGAAGTGTATTATGTAAATATTACTTGCACTTCCCTAGCTGTTGCTAGGGGGAGCCTTAGAGTGTTGAAGCCCCAGATGTGGAGCCCTTTAGCTCTGGATCTCTACAGTTGGTGGAGGAGTCAGGAGGATATAAGTGGGTTGTTTTTTTTAGATCAGACAACTGCTTCTGAGCCAATAGTAGAATGATGTTTTGTATCTCAGGCTTTCCAAGGAATAGTAGAACAATGTTTTGACTCAGGACTTGAGCATTTACAGAGAAATTCCATCCGAGCACATGGGTGTTCTGCATTTTTTAAAATACCGTGATATATGCAGATGCGCCATGCACATAGCACTACATGGGTTAACTAATTAACATGCTTTGCATGTTGTGCTTGACATGCCATATAAATAAAAAAAAATCAATTGGAAAAATCTAATAGCCAATGCGTTTTAGTTAGCTTTTTATGTGTACTAAAATATTGTGACTCTCTAATACAATATTCTCTGGATACTCGTGAATGTATCTTTTCTGGTACTCATGTTTGGCCCTCATATACAGATACAACATGATATTTAAACCAGTATAATGGTTTAGTATCATTGCATTTACTTCTTTCTAAACTCTGCCTTATGTCTTCTTCTACTTACTTATGCATGGCCTGCTGTCAAATTACAGGTTTTTTTGGCGCACTCACACTCATATGAAACAATGTATTTTACAAGAACCAGGCAGCTATTCTGCCATATAACATTAGTAAAAATACAAAAGAGGATCCAACACAACACAAGGGCCGAAAAATAAGAAATGCGGCCAAGCTTACATACCATTATCTTAATATAATGATACCATTATCTTAATATTAATGATTTTTTTTAATACAGACAATATTATCATGCACATCTGTGTTAATTCTCTTAGAGACATAACAAGATGGTGGGATCTACATGCATGGCATTTTCTTGGACTACAACTTCTGTGGACAACTCCACCTATGACCCTGTTGATGAAATAAAGGATTCAAGGTTGTCTAGTGATCATCAAGAGAGTTGTGACTTGTCTGGGCAGATTTCCCCTCCCTGTTCCCTCTGGCATGTTCCTATTGACCACTGTCTATAATTGCAATGGCTGAAAACTACTGTGGAATCTAATATTAATGTGCCAAGTCTGGTCTTTTCTATTCCCTGCAAGACTGTCAAGGACCCCAAAGGAATGTTGGGTTGAGAATTGGTAGCAACCATACTTCTGTCTGCTCCTCTTGACTCCTATTATTACAATAGTGATTCCTACCAAAGTACCCCAGGGAAATAAGTGTAGTCCTCATTTCAGTTAAACAATACACTATATTCCTCAACAAATAGCTTCTTATAAAGTCAGTTTAAAACATCCATTATATCGTTATTTTATTCAGTGATAAGAAGGAAGGACGAGAGTCACTTAGTCAGAATAACACAGCTGTTTATGCATTATTTTGTCATTTTAAAGAATTTTAGATATTCCTAACGAACTTTCCCACCATAGAATATCAACATTTCTATTTAGAGACTGGATTTCTTATTAATGATGCCAAGCAAACTGCAGAGGATGAGAAGGGATAAAACGGGATACAAGAAAAGGGAGATGGAATTTGACTTTGTGCTTAAAATGTATCCGTTACAACCCATATTTTTTTCACTTCTGGTCAGTGGCCAATAAAACATTCCATCTTTAAACGAACTAAACAAAAGACTGCCAGATCACAGCGCAGTTATGAAGACTGCATGTTTTCCTGCCATAAATGTCTGCTTTCAGTGAGGTTTTTGTAAGAAAGAAAGTGTATGAAAAAATAAGCATTTATTTATTTGCTTGTCATTGTTACTTTCTTGTTTTCTCACTTTTTGTCAGTATTGTGTAATCATTTGCCACAATGTTTCTACATTGATTTGTAAAGAAATATATTGAAATATTTTAACTGTTCAATATATTACATATTAAGTCTACAAATGGGCCTAAATACTACACATATAGGATTATTCAGTAAGGTATATTTAAATGTTGGACATCACTGGAAACATTTCAGTAAGCTATGTTTTGAGTTTGGCTAATTTGTCTTAAAGTTTAAATTCATTTTGATTTAACTAACACAAAATGTAGGTTAACGTACCTGAATTGGAAAAATAAAAACACCCACCCTGGATGATTGAACTAATTTTAAGTTGGTTCTCAACTGTTTAGTGAATAGGCACTTCATTTGTGATTGATGAGTATGGAATTTTACGTATGGAGATATCTCCAGTGGAGGTAATTGATGTTGAAATTATGTTCCTACCAATTAAAAGACACTGTTTTAGTAAATATCCCATGTTTTCTTTTTAATAGTGTTGGTACATAGGAGAACATTTTAGCTGTCTTTAAAAAAAAAAAAAAAGTAATGGTAGTATACCCTTAAAGGGACCTTGTCAGTAAAGCAGACTTAATATAGGTCATATTACAGAAATGTAAGGAAGGGCATCGAAATAGCTCATGTACGGTGACTAGTTTTCTTTATGAAGATCACTATCAAAAAATAGTCACTATAAAAAAGCAGAAATGGAAGCAATCATCTGGGGTTGAGGTATGTCTCTTGCCGAGGAAGCCGGGCATCATTTTTCCCCTGAACAGCCCTTTTTAGGTGGGATCAGTCTGATGTGCAAATGGTTAAGGTTCTCTCTGTAATGGCACACGTTAAAAGCTAAAACAAGCTTGAGAACTGAGTGGGGGAAGCGCTCGAGTTGTTCTCCTTTCTCAGTATTCTCTTGTGCTCTGTGTTGGCTTTAGTATAAAAAAAGCAATTTCAAAATGTCAAGCATTGTTATAGTAACCTTGTAATAACACATAGTTTGCAAAAGTTCATATTAGATCTAGAAAGATCTCTCACATATTTACAGACATTAGTGCTGTGTGATAGAGTAAGTAGAACATTTCATGCAAGTGTTTAAAGGCCCTATTGGGATGACAGTAAGGATTTCATTTGGGGTTAATTGCTAATGCACGAATAAAAATAGGCAACCAGGGGATAAACACCAGAAATGGTCCAAAAGGAAAAGAAGGAGAAGAAATCTTACTCCGATTATGGAATTATTTTAAAATATAGGAAACGTTTGTGTATGTAAAACATAACAATATAAAGTGTGCTTCCATCACAATGAACAATAGGACCCTTGCTAGTGACAGCAATTAAATGCAGGACTTTACCAAACCTCTTGGGTTGAAGGCCTGGTCCAAGTCTCTAGATATCCTTATATGGACTATAAGAACCATTGCACACCAGCCCATCCCCAGCCACGTCTGACTGATTTGTGCTACCTAACTTGGTAACTAAAGCACATCTGTTAGTGAATAACCATATATATCATTGCATCATAATACATAAGACATGTGAGCTTGGTACATGACATCCTAATTGTGCTGGTTTTGATTAGTCTGGACCAAAGCAGTACATACAATCTTCCCTCAGTAGTAATTATGAGTATTATGACTGTAGCAAATCATTATTCTTGATGTATGAGAACATTGATAAGCCACTTATGTAGAACAATGTACTCTTGGGATAATTATGGTGGACTGCAAGGCTTATACCAAACACATACCAATTTTATTAAAATGTAGTTAGAAGATTATAGTTAACAATGTGTAATCAGGTTTAAGTAATAGGATGGTTTTTGAAAGATAAACATAGCCAAGTCATTCTAGAAAATATTTTAATGTAAATCCCAACATTTTATACAAACTGTATTTAAAATTTAAATTCCCAAAGCTTTCTTTATATGTTTGCTTTAAAATCACAGGGCTTGCACTTTAAATAAACTAGTCATGGACTGCAGTTCAAAAAATTTCCTTTTTAAAGAAATTGTAAAATGAGTTATTGAAAGAAGAATTGACATAACTAAAAAATTCTAAAACTGTCTAATATGGACTGAGCCAATAGATGAACTGTTAAAGGGACAGAAACATTACCATTTTGCCTTTTAAAGAGCCACTGTTATTTTGAAGTTTTTCTGAACTTCATTTAAGTTGAAACAAAAATCAAAGATATACGTAAAGCAAAATATAAACGCATTTGTCTTGTGTACACATCAGATTTAGTAAAAGAAAAAGCTAGAGGTTTAATTGGCTTTTGCTTACCTCACCTAGCATTTTCCATCGGTCTTCTCATGGGCTCTTCCTCATATTGCCATGGAGTATGCTTGCCCATACTTGAGAGTACAAATATGGTGCAGTTCCTGGTAGCTTCATCTTTTTTCATCTGCAATGAGCCGAAGTTCAGACAATTATATATCTGTTCTTTGCCAATGTACAATAATGCATACCGACATGTCACCTGGAGAATATTTGCACACACACACACACACACACACACACAGACACAAAATAAAACAGTGCTACTTTAAATAAAAACATATTGGTATATATTTTAAATACATCCAGCTAGATATGAGACAATTCTCCTTCAAGTCACTGTGACTAGATATTTTTGGGAATTGGTGTGTGTGGGGGGGTGTATGGGGCTGCTTGTTGTATTGCAAGGCTACTTATGGGTTTGTGTGTGTATACGAATTGTCAGTGGTGTTGTATTTGTTGGGACTTTGTGTGTGGACTGTTTGTATAATTTGTATGAGGGGAGGCTATCTGAAGTCTCACTGGGATTCTGATAGACTAGTGCATGCTTGGCTTTGGCAGCCTTGAGTGCCGTTAAAACCCACACGTGCCATAGGTTGCTGACCTCTGGTCTATGGTATATACTACTTTTGCTTCCTATATGCTAGTGTGGAGAATGTATGGAGAGCTGCTGTGCTTATTGTTGTGAGTACTGATCATCTATTCCTCAAGAATTAAGAGAACCTAAATTGTAGTAGCATCTATTATAGATAAGGGATTATTTAAACTTAAATATTTTTTCAAGCAAAAACATCTTCTCAACTTCAGCACTAAAAAATGAAATTTTACGTGTTCTACGTCAGGCTGATATATTGTATACAACATAATAGAGTATATCTCTTTACTTTACATTAATACCACTGGTACATGGCAAACCAAGGACAAATTGTAAGTTTTTTTAATGAATATGTTCTCTCCTGCATATCATAAAAAAACACCATGTAGTTCAACATTATACCAGAATTTCAACTGTGCAACTGCATTCTACATTAACATAACGTCACATCAATATATGTGCTCTCACACAGCATGTGGCTGCTCACTGGTTAACTGTATACTAATTATCCTGTTTACACATAGGGATTCTTAACTCCACATCTGCTTCTCTGTGGATAACCCCTCTAGCATTACTTCAGCATGTTGTAGTGGATGGTTAGCTATGGAGACACTATGACCTGCAGTGAAATCATAGGTCATCTAATAAACACAAAGAATACTGCAAATGTACGCCATCTAGGAGGCTGTCTCTTTGCACATGTGACTTTTGCAATTTTCTATTCACATCATAGTGCTAGATATTATTTATTTAATATGTAGATAAAGGTACATAGTTTGTAAGTGCATGCTTACTGTGTGTAGAAGTACATATAGGTGTGAATGCATGTATTGTCTGTGAATGCATGTGGAGTTTTTTTTATTACATACATAAAATCCTTTAAACTACATGCCCCAGCATAAAGACAGTAGTGTTGGAATGACATGGACATTTTGCTGCAGTACCCTCAATGTGGCAGGGCTGGTTAGAAGCATGACTTCTGGCCATACTCTTCTGATTTGGTGGGGTCTGGCATATGAGAGAGCTGTGATATTATTATTATTATTATTATTGCCATTTGTATAGTGCCAACAGATTCCATAGCACTAAATATTATAAGATGGGGGATTTAATTATAAATAGGACAATTACAAAACACTTATATCCACATAGCCTGTTAGTTCAAGGGTGTACAGCAAGTAATCATTATGTAATCACACAGATATATACTGTTGGTTTCCGACACTACGAAGAGGGAATTATCATATCTAAACCCCAGCTATTACTAGTCTCTGATACAAAGCACAAAAATACATGTTGTAGACATTGTGATCCCCAAGAAGCCATTTCATGCCTAATGTAATTTCCATCTTTCAATCCAGCCACTGTAGTTTTGTCATGAAATGCATTTTAATCTGACATCAAGTCATCACTGTGCAGTTCACAATGCACAGCACCACATGCTGAAACTGCAGTGACCGACATCTGTCCATAAAAAAAGGCCTATGCAGCCTTTACACAATGATCACCGAGCAATGCATATTGTGGGTGACCTCTTCATACCTTGGAGCTTTCCACTACTATAACTAGAGCTTAGCAGTCAGCCAGCTCAGATGTCACTAATAGAATATAGTTAAAAACAAAAAAAGTACAAGAGACAGACTGGCTGGAACAGTAGACACCCAACCATGAAAAATGAAGGTTTTCCAGTTGGCAAGACTGATCTCTATACTGGGGTCGTTTCTTGTGTATTTAGTTATGCAGATATGCATTATCACTAATTTTGAGAAAATCATTAGGGATATTTGGAATAGTTACACCATTTGTTCTAAGGACTTGTCCAAGCAAACTGCTAAATCTTTAAAAAAATTTGTGCTCTGTATTTGATTGTTGAGCAATTAAGAAGGACTATGTGATTGACTACTCAATTGTAATTGGACTTTCCATCTACACCTGAGTATAAAGATATAGTGCATTAGTTGCAAAAATTTAAACAGAACGCTTTTGATCTGAAATTCGATGCAATATATCTATCAGCTATAATAGAATTAAAGGACCACTATAGTGCCAGGAAAACATACTCGTTTTCCTGGCACTATAGTGCCCTGAGGGTGCCCCCACCCTCAGGGTCTCCCTCCCGCCCGGCTCTGAAAAGGGGAAAGGGGTTAAAACTTACCTTTTTCCAGCGCTGGGCGGGGAGCTCTCCTCCTTCTCTCCTCCTCTTCTCCGCCCCGCCGGCTGAATGCGCACGCGCGGCAAGAGCTGTGCGCGCATTCAGCCGGTCACATAGGAAAGCATTTACAATGCTTTCCTATGGACGCTGGCGTGCTCTCACTGTGAAAATCACAGTGAGAAGCACGCAAGCGCCTCTAGTGGCTGTCAATGAGACAGCCACTAGAGGATTAGGGGGAAGGCTTAACCCATTCATAAACATAGCAGTTTCTCCGAAACTGCTATGTTTATTAAAAAATGAGTTAACCCTAGAAGGACCTGGCACCCAGACCACTTCATTAAGCTGAAGTGGTCTGGGTGCCTAGAGTGGTCCTTTAAACGTACTCAAAGGGGATTTAGAATAAAAAATATATCTACCATTGGATGCAATATTAAATGAATAATAAATAATAAATAAATATTCCCTGGACCTCATGCTTGTTGTGATTGAGGAAATGGACAGAGAAAGTGAAAAAAATAAAATTTAAATTTTTTAAACTTAAATACAACGAAATGTGAGGAACTCATTGTTAAGCTATCTCAAGATCGCAAAGCTTACAAAAAATGACCATTAGAAGCCAGCGGGCAATTCGTTTAAAAAAACGAAAAAAAAAAACTTGGCTGGGCAGAGCCACATTAAAATTAAATTAAATCAAGCATATGAGAGTCAATATAACCCCAATGTTAGTTTAATGGAGCTCTAAAACACTTACATTTGTGTTCAGAATTGCCTCATCAGTACAACAGAGATGTCCCTCATTCTTTTATTAGCCCCCTCCCATGGCATAGGACACTTTATTTCCCCACCAAGTATTTGATTTTAAGCTCCGATGCCAGTGGGTGGGACATGAGGGGGACCTAGCTGAGATGGGATGGGGCCTTTTTTAGTGACTAAGCAGCCATAACTTCCCAGTTGCCAGTTTTTAATTGCAGTGAGCGGCAGCTGGCTGCTCACTGTTTAGTAGACATGCCCCCACCCTCAGCAAGGTGTTTCAGGGCATAAGGGAGGTAGTATATCTCCCTTATACCAATATAGGGGTCATACTGACCCCCATAGGATTTTTATTTTTAACTTTTGGTTCATCTGAATAGTTTCACATGAATGAAATTCGCCCTAACTGAACAGCACGTGGATAAAAATTGGTTTGTCAGAGCCACTTTTATTTTCCTTTCAGACAAATCACTTTAGACAAACCACACTTTGTTGCCATGCACAAGTCTAATATAAATTTATATAGATTTCTCTGTATGACTGCTGTAGTTTTTAATTTGCAAAAACACACAAAAGCTAAATCTTGTATTGGTAGTGTGCCAACATTGTACGTATATCTTAAATTCAATCCCTCACAGAACTTAGTAGAGTTTCAGATAATAGTATATAAACAGGAGCAGTTGCTTTCATCATTTTATAAGTGTTTATACATATGATAACAGCAAGTAGGTGTCAAACACAGTAACTTTCCCATAAAGGATTTTATGTACTAGGGAGGATTGCTTATATGCAGGGCCGGCCTTAGGGGTGTGCGAGCTGTGCGACCGCACAGGGCGCCATGGAACAGGGGGCGCCCTGTGGCCGACACAGCTCACTCATGGCCGGCCTCCACCCGGGTCTATTAAAAAAAAAAAATAAAATAAAAAAAATCGCGGCAGAGGGGGCGGGGTTTACCGAGCGGCGGAGGCGGGGCTTATCGAGAGGCGGAGACGGGGCTAATACCTCCCGAAGCCCCTGCTGTACAGGAAGAGGGAAAGATGCTTCACCATCAGCCAACTGCATCCACTGGAAAGAGGTAAGTGTGTGTGTGTGACTGTTTGCCTGTTTGTGTGACTGTCTGTGTGTGTGTGTGACTGTCTGTGTGACTGCCTGCCTGTGTGCGTGTGACTGTCTGTGTGTGTGTGTGTGTGTGTGACTGTCTGTGTGACTGCCTGTCCTTGTGTGTGTGTGTGTGACTGTCTGTCTCTCTGTGTGTGTGTGACTGTCTCTGTGTGTGCCTGCCTGTGTGTGACTGTCTGTGTGTGTGACTGTCTGTCTGTGTGACTGCCCATGTGTGTGACTGTCTGTCTGTGTGACTGTCTGTCTGTGTGACTGCCCGTGTGTGTGACTGCCTGTGTGTGTGAGACTGTCTGTCTGTGTGACTGTCTGTGTGTGTGACTGCGTGTGTGTGTGACTGCCTGTATGTGACTGCCTGCCTGCCTGTGTGTGTCTGTCTGTAACTATCTGTCTGTGTGTGACTGCCTGCCTGTGTGTGTGACTTTCTATCTGTGTGACTGCCTGCCTGTGTGTGTATAACTGTCTATGTGTGTGTTACTGTGTGTCTGTCTGTGTGTGTGACTGCCTATGTGACTGTCTGTCTGTGTGTGTCGCTGTAGCTGTGCCATTGTTTGTGCCTGTGCCTGTATGTGTGACTGCCTTTAACTGAGTGTGTGTGTACATGCCTGTAACCGAGTTTAAATTTCCCCCACCCCTTCCTGTCAAGGCCGCACTTTGACTGACAGACGCTCACTCACTGACAGACGCACACTCACTGACAGACACACACTCACTGACAGACACACACACTCATATACACTGACAAACAATGACATACACACATACACTATTACTTGGACACACACTGACAGATGCACACTCTCACTGACAGATGCAAGCACTCACTGAAAGATGCACGACTCCACTGACCGACACATACACACTGACTGACACACACTCACTGACCGACACACACTCACTGACCGACACACACTCACTGACCGACTCACTGACCGACACATACACACTCACTGACCGACCGACACACACTCACTGACCGACACATACACACTCACTGACCTACACACTCACTGACCGACACACACTCACTGACGACACATACACACTCACTGACGACACATACACACTCACTGACTGACACATACACACTCACTGACTGACACATACACACTCACTGACTGACACATATACACTCACTGACTGACACATATACACTCACTGACCAACACACACATTCACTCACAGACACACACACATTCACTTACAGACACACACAATTACACACTTACAGACACACACACACACATTCACTTCAAAATAAACACTCACAGACACACACACAGACATTTCCACTAACACTCACAAACTAATATTTTTTACATTTATTTTAAATCCACCCAGCCTCCTGGGAAAGCTGGAGTGGATTTCTTACCAGCAGTCCAGTGTGGCTGCTGGGCAGGCAGGCAGGGGGCGCACAGGCTGAGTAAGCAGCGCTTAGTGATGCCGGGAGCCGGACTGACGTCATATTCTGGCTCCCGGCTTCATTAAGCGGCGCAGAGGAAGCTGAGCAGAAGAGCTCAGGTGAGTATGCTCCTTCGCTGCCCGCTGCCAGCCTTGGGGGGGCTCAAAAGTGGCCAGCCGGTCAGCTCTTGAGCCCCCAGGATGCGAGGCAAGCAAGGGATCTGCCTGGGGGTTTGGAGGGATGCTTTTTTTTGCCGCCCCCTGCAAAGTGGCGCCCAAGGCAGATGCCTTGTTTGCCTCGTGATACACACGTCACCGGTGCCTGTGTGTGTTACTGTATTCAGGCAACTTGGTGGGAGGTGGGGGGGGCGCCGTGAAGACTTTTTGCACAGGGCGCCTAATTGCCTAAGGCCGGCCCTGCTTATATGAAATGAAAAAGCACACTTGTCGGACTGCATCCAACAAGATTATGTTGCGTCTGCATATGTAAACTCCAGTGAATTATCAGCACTTCTTGTTGAACTCAGAACAAGCTTTCAAGACGTATTACAAGATGAAAGCAAGTTTGGCCCACAATCTCATGCAGTTCTGGCTTTTGAACACTACATGTAACAAAATTACCCTTCAAGGTATATCCCTTTGTTGGAATAAAAACTATTTAATTACTGTGAAACTAAGTGGTTCAATCTGGATGATTCATGCAGTTGTTATTAATAAAATGCTTATCTTCAAAACCTGGTAAACAATGACCTAGTAAGGGTTATTATAGCTCTGTAAGACACTAATGCATTAAAGGTGTCTCTATATTATTTAAAGGGACACTGTAGTGGACCACGGGTAACCAGACTAGTTACCTCCGCTAATTCCTTCCTTCAGCCACTCTGGGACCATTAAAGCATACAGACATCCATTCCCCCAGTAACCCGATGAAACATAGTTCTGAGAGTCAACTCAGGTATATTGGAACAAACATGGCTTTTATGCACAGACCCCTACATGGGGTCTCCCATTCAATAATACAGGGCTTTTCCCCAGGATCCTCTACAGAAATATATACAATATTCTAAAACATGGCAAAAATACATTTTCAAAAGGGGCTAAATTGATTGCATAGGAGGTCAGAGCTTACAATCCAAATTCCTTTTTGAAACTGGGACCCCAACTGAGCCACTCTGCTAGGTGTGAGAAGTCACACACAAGTGGCCTGGAAGTCTGGCTTCAGTATAAACTAACTCTTTCACAGTCCATATGTCCTGATTTCCTCCTAGATAAAGTGTATTTTGATATGAATAGTCATCAGCCCTTAAAGAAAACCCTTGTGCTCCAGTATCATATTAAAGAGACACTAACACTTACCCACAGATTAATAACTAAGCCTCATTTCTATTACATTCAGAATAAGACAAGCGCAATCTTCTAACCAAGCCAAAACATGATTTGCAAACAAAGGGAAAAACATATGAATGAGTAGTAGCTTTGCCACACAGTTCCCCCTTAACCACAAGCCTGCATACACAGTCTGATCCCACCGAATTGGCTTGGGGATGTTGGGGGAGTACTCACAAATCACTTTTCCAGTTCTGTCTGTCGTGATAACCCGTCGGCATTCCCATTTTGCTTACCGGGTCTATAATGAATGGAAAAGTCATATGGTTGTAGGGCCAGGCTCCACCCCAATAACCTGTCATTGTCTTTTACATGGCCCATAGTCCTTGGGCAGGAGGCTGGCAAGCAGGATCCTCCAGGAGCTCGTGGCAAATATGTAAACACTGCTTTTTGAGAAAGTGTCCATTAGAGGTACTTCCTAGTCGAGTGCTGCACATTGTCCAGCACCTATGTCACTCCCCATAGATATGCACTGATTCAACATTAGCAAGTGTACCACTATAGTATTAGGAATACATGTTTGTATTGTTGATGCTATAGTGTTCCTTTAATTATTTTTTTGCCATGGTTGTATCTTTGTTGAATTACCAGTAATAAATGAAAGCTTGGACTTTCATTTTATTTTGCCTTCATTAAGTATCTTGGAAAGAAAATCTACTACATTTCAAAACTCAGTATAACATTTGGAGTTTTCTTCAGGTAGAGCTTACCCTCTTTCACTTGTCCATTGTTAAAGGATAAGTCACCGAGGAAACTTCTAAACATTTTTTAGAAACTGCTATGTTTACATTGCTGGGTTAAAGCCACATCCAGTGCGGCACTGACTTAGTAAAACTTGGTCACATCATGTGAAAGCCCCCAAAGGAAAGCAATGCTTTTCTATGGGGAATATTAGGGGTAGCTTAGATGCATGCACATCAGGTCCCAAATGCTCTTCTATGAGGAGAATTGGATTGGTTCAAACGATGGAGGAGGCCATGCCTCCTCCATGACATTGCGGGAGCAGAGATATAGTATTATAAGTAGCGCAGAGGGAGTCTTCGTGCTTGCAAAAAGGTAAGTCATTTAATTTATTTTATTATTTTTATCTCGCACAGTGTGGGGTCGACCTCTATAACTTGGGACAGTGACATTAAAGCATTAGGAATACAGGTTTGTATTCCTAATGCTTTAGTGTAACTTTAATTTACTCCAGTGTTTCCTAACCTCCAGCTCATTGGCAAAATATTTTATAACAGGAAAAAAATTCATTCTTGAACCCAGAATTGCAGTCAAATCTCTTCTTGGATCAAAAAGGAGTTATCCCACATATTAAAAATTATATCCCTGAATATTATGTTTCTGCAAGTATTCATCCAGGTGCTATTTAAACAGCTGTGCAGACTCTAATAAAACAACCTCTTCAGATAGATAACTATTTCCTTTTCCTTAGACTAAATCTCCTATCTTCCAGTCTAAATGCATGATCTATTCCTATTTATGAATATATTCCCAAAAAATGGTTTGTACTGGTTCTGAATATATTTGTATAACGCTATCATATCCCCTCTGAGGCACACTTTTTCTAAAAAAACAAGCAAAACAAAAAAACAGATTTAAATTTGCTAACCTTTCTTCAAAACTAAAATCTTACATTCCCTGTTATTAATTTTGTAGCAGACCTCTGCACTTTTTCTAGTGCCATAACATTCCTCTTTAGAACAGGTGCCCCAAATTTCACAGAATATTCATGGGGTGCTCTTCCCATTGATTTAAAAAGAGGTGAATTATATTTTTATCCCAACAATTAATGCCCCCTTTCATACATGATATTACCTTACTGGCCTCAACGACTACTGATTGACATTGCACATTGTTGTCTAGTTTGTTGTCTATAACAATTCCTAAATCCTTCTCATGTGTTGTTATCCATAATTTACGACAGTTAAGGGTGTAAGTTGCTTGTGCATTCTATACCCCGAAGTTTACATTTATCTACGTTAAATTTCATCTGCCATTTGACTGCCCAGTCCTCCAATCTAAGTCCATCTGCAGGAAAGTAATATCCTTCTAACATTGTAATATTTTACAGAGTTTTGTGTCATCTGCAAACACTGAAACATGATTTTCAATGCCTATTTGAGATAATTTATAAATATGTTGAATAGAAGCAGTACCAAAAAAAAACACCAATGAGGGACACCACTTACCACTTTTGTCCAGCTTGAAAATTTACCATTAATGACTTAACTTTCTGCACTCTATCTTTAAGCCAATTTTCTTCCCAAGAACTATAATTTTCATCCAGACCAATATCTTTTAGTTTGAACACTAACCTATTGTGTAGAACTGTATTGAATGCTTGACAAAATCCAAGTAGATCGCATCCACTGCACCACCACCCTGATCTATATTTCTACTTACGTCTTCGTAGAATGCAATTACGTTAGTTTGACATGACCTACGTTTCATAAAACCATGCTAATTTTTGATAATAACAATGCTCTTCCCAATTAATTCCTGAATATTACTAATCAATAACTCTTGAAATACATCCCCAGCCACAGATGTTAAGCTCTATAATTTACAGACAAAGCTTTTCAAAACTATTTCAATATAGGAACCACATCTGCCTTTCTACAATCGTCCAGTACAATTCCTGAAAGAAAAGAATCCTGAAAGATTACAAACAGAGGTTCACTTATTTCCACACTAACTCCTTAAGTACTCATGGGCGAATACTACCTGGGGCTTTGTTTACATTAACTTTCTTTAGTTGCTGTAGCACCTTGTCTTGAGTCATCCAATCACAATTTTTCTGCAGGTTATTTTGCAGCAATCATTTGCACATTTCTTGCCATATGTTCCTCCATAATGCATACTGAGGAAAAATAGTTGTTTAGCATTTCTGCCGTTTTATTGTCTTCTTTAGCTAGCACACCCATATCAGTGTATCTTTGTGATCATTTTTTATTTTTAGAATGTATGTACTTGAACGTGTTTGTGGTTGGTTTTGTTGCACTTTGCTTTAATATGTGTTGATTGCTGATGGAGCTATTTGGAATAATTCACAAGACTTGATTGTGACCTGTCTCAAATATATAATTATAAAGCATAAGAATTGGAGTTCAAGGAGTTCTGACATACAGTATATAATTCTTTCCTGTTTGCTATATTTTACATTAATACCACTCTCACCCTATGTTTTTGCAAAATCCAATCAAACCAATCCTCCATGTTTCCAGCCAGCGCTATATATTCGTCATACAATGGCTTTGCCCATATTTGTTTAAAAGAATAATATATGTTGTGGTTAGCAGGTTAGGTACAGATTTCAAACAGCCCTATGGATCTGAATTAAGTGGGACCAAATGCCCTCTATTGTGTACATTATCCATGAACTGACTGAACCATAAAACCCATGGCAAAATAAAAGTTGTAGAGTTTCATCCATATACTATTACAGGTCAATGATGTTGCATATAATTTAATAGAAAGGGAATAATAAAAAATTTAAAAAAAGAACATGGGTAGCAAGGATTGTATGTAATTTTACTTCACATGTTTCTTT